GGCAACTCCGTCTGTTTGGATGATGTTTGGTGTGAGTGTGAGGGTCGGTAGGTACTTCCCTCTGTGTAAGACCTCAATGATCTCATTCTCTCAGACCTAGAGTAACGAGTTCTGGAGGTTCCAGACTGAGTATCGCTTGTCCTAAGGCTTCTACTTTCTGCTTGTGATGGCGTTGAATGCCTTCCATGGTCTTCTGAGCGGTGAGGGGGCGTCTTGTTTTTGCGCCCCTCTCCTGTCGCCACTCTTTTTCCCTTCATCTGGCGCTTTAAGGCTTCCATGTTGGCCGCCATCTTCCTTATTAATTCGTCTTGCTCCTTCACGCGATCCTCCAAAACCTGAGGATCAATCCTCCGTCTTTACCTGTCAGGACTTTGTGAATGAGAGTGACGGGGGCTGTGAGTCCGCCTCCTTCTAGTATCTCTTCTGGAGTTATGTCGTTGGGACTCTAAGTCCGCCATGGGAGGGATAGAAGGCAATCCTTCACGCCTTGCACCCCTGTCTGGTGTTTGCCCGTCGATGGCAGACTGTGGTAATTCTTTAATGTGTGCCATTGTTCCTAAAGAGGTAAAGCTTGATCAAGAGGTTTTGTCCTGTCTGTTATTCCCACAAACGGCGCCAATTGTACGGGAAAGAAATAAACCTTCTCGTATAATCCTGTTGATCAAGTTGCTCCGTCCACAAAGAGCTTCCACAATTCATACCGTATAATAATGGGAATAGCCGAACTAAATCGCCAAGCCGGTCTCAACCTCGGTCTGGCCGAAATCTTTCACCAATACTCCATTGGTTCGAAGGAAGACGGCTGGGTGTACTATCTTAGAATACGCCGTCGACGCGAGAAAATAATAAAAAACACACCGGATAAAGACTTGAATGTCGACGATTTTTTTTAGGTGTCTGGGAACTTTAAGGATCACCAAGCCTATCTTAGTAGGACTTTTACTTCTCCATGCAGAGTCCTCCTAGGATTCACACTCCTGAAAGATAATGCTTATCATTCAACACCCCCTCACTGCTTAAACCAAGTGAGATGGTTTTATCATGGCCAAACTCCAATATGACTGAAGTAAACATGACTATGCATAGCCGCAGAATAAGCCGAACTAGCTCTTCCTTTTGCTGCTCTTACGTCGGCTTCTCATGCACAACCCATGGCGTGGTTAGACCGAACTAACATGTCATGACCGGTGTAACTCCAAGACCAGTCTAACTCCAAAGTACCGTTAGACCGATCTAACTTCGATCTTCTGTCGGATCGGACTAGCTTCACTGCCTTAGGACCGGACTAACTTCAAAATATCCACACGACCGGAGTAACTTACACTGCCATTTTACTCGGCCCTTTGTACTGCGGCTCATAACGGCCCATTATCCAGCTCGGCCCAATTTTCACATAAATTACCCTCTCATGAATTACTTTATTCTGATCAATATATAGATATTCAAATAATATTCAAATATAATATATGAATTACTTTATTCTGATCAATTTATAGTTATACGTATATAATTGACAATTTGCATTACTATTTGATTTGATAAGTGATTAATAATTTTTTATGTTGATATAAATTAAAATAAGTGTCCTTATTTTATTATTTTTTATGCTCAATCAAATAAGGATCAAGTAATTGAATTGACGTAAAAAAAAGTAATTAAATTATCAATTATTTTTTTAATAGGAGATCTCTATTAAAAAGTTCAAAAGTTGATTTATTTTTCAACTATCGGTTCGTTTCATAAATCCAATTTTGGATTTCTTTAGTCTAAAAGTCTAGGCATCAAATTACCTTGTGGGTAATTCTATTTTCACACATCAATTCTATTCAATTCACACATTTAATGAAAATTTTCATTAATACAATTTTGTCATAGAATAAAAATGCTATAATACATTCATCTTCTTCTACCCAAACCCTAATTTTAAAACATCACAACCATTTTCTATTGCCATCGCCATCCCCTCTCATTGCCTCTTTCTTTCTTCGCTTGCGATCACTTTCTGCCATGAATTATACACTCCCATAACTCTTCCATCACGAATCACTCAAGATTGACTGTGGAGGTCTAGGATGGAAGGAGATGAGCTATAAGTGGCAGTAGTGGTGGCAATGAAAGGTTGAAAGTGGTGGCAACGACAATAAAAGAGAAGTGGGTGAATGAAAAAAAATAAAAATAAAAATAAAAATTGGCTATGTTTAATCTAGTTTTAAAATATGTTTTCAAAAATAAATAAATCAAAACTTCTCATTTCAATATGGTTTTATCTTTCTAGGGGTAAAAAAAATTTAAAACATATTTTTTTGATATTTGTTTTTGTCAAATTAATTTATAATTTTCTCAAAAAAATTTCAAAAAATTGATTCAAATATTGAAACCAAACATAGTCTTAGGGTTTTAAAATTGAAAATGAGGGTAATATTGGAATATAGAGATGTGTACTAAAAATTTATATTTTTATAATGTATGTATTGAGAAGGTGTTCATTAAATATGTGTAATGAGAGAAATTAGTGTGTGGAAATAGAATTACTCTTACCTTGTCCGTAAGGACATACTTTTGCAAAAAGACCAAACTATTAGATCACATGCGTCTCTCTCTCTCTTTCTCTCTCAATCCTCTTCTCTTTCCTTCTAGATCTAATTCACTCTCTTTCTCTAACTGACTCATCTCTCTCTGTCTCTGTCTTTGTCTCTCTGTCTCTCTCTTTTTCTCTCTCTCAGAGGTGGTAAGGGCTTTGATCGCTGTTGACCGCCACTCTCGTGGCTCATGTCGGCCATCGTTTTTCTCCGACTTCTCTTCCTCCGATCTCTGCCGCCGCACTTAACATTTTTCTCCTCAGGTAGATCGCACTCATCTTCATTATCCTCAACTACTGTGGGGCCCCAACTTCCGATCTACCTCGCTCGCTGTCGCCACTACGGGTGCGGGATAAAAATTGCAAGAGTAGTATGTTTCGATCTCTATATCTTTTTATCTCTCTCTGAAGCTCTCTGAGTTCGAAGTTCTAGTTGAGCGGTGCTTCTACGTTGAGATCTTTGTATTTGAAGAAGCTGCTAGAGCCTTTCCTCCGTGTCGTAGTCGATTTTCTATTCTCTTCTGCCGTCACGATGAATCCACTTTAAACAGATGATTGGAGGGCGGAAACTGGCAATTCGGTGTCACCAATCGCCTAGATTTCAACTATTAGTATATTCTGAGTTATTCAATGAATCCAAAGTTAAGCTAAGTTTGGCATCTTCAAAAAAAGCCAAAAAAGTCACTATCCTATTTAAGTGACATCACCCCCTACCATATCACTTCAAACCCAACCCATATTTCATAAAAAAGTCAAAAAGTGCACTTATTTAGAACATCCCAAACAACCCATTATTTATGTATATTCTAAGTTACGAGATCTGCCATTGGATTTTCATATTCTTTGATTTGTGTTCGTTTGATTTATGTATTGTTTGTAGAATTGTAGAAATTTGTTCTAGTTCTTTGATCTACTCTAGATTGGAAATAGTAGCTGCTAGATTTTCATTGTCTTCAGCGTTCTTGTTTGTTGATGGATTTGTAGATTTTTGTAGTTCAGATCAAGTAGTAATTTGTGTTAATAATATATGTTTGTGCATACATGTAATTATGCATTTATATATGAATAGCTTTGGATTCATTGTTCTGTTGAACATATTCATTCGTGGATCTGGAAAGGTGAAGAATGGGACAACATGTTCATTAATCATGATGATGATGAAGACGAAGGGAAGCCCTGGTTCAATAGATAAAAGAGAGATCTGCACTGATCATTAGATCAACAAAGCTGTATTGTTTTATTGTTGTTGAACAGATAAAACAAATAGATAATTTTTTTTTTCTTTGTTGTTGTTGTTGTTGATCATCCTAATGATAATTTTTATTTTTATTTTTTTCTTTGTTGAACATATGTCTCTCATCTCTCATTTCTCTTTAGAGCTGAAAATTACAAAGTGTTGTGCAATATTGAGAGAGCTGCAGAAAACCCATACACATCTTCTTCTTGTTTAATTATTTAGATCTGTTCAAATTTTTTTGTTGTTGTTGTTGTTGTTTTGTATATTTCTCAGATTATATCTGTTCAATTTTTTTTGTAGTTATTATTTTTGTAGATATAAGTGTGTGTATTTTTTATTTATTTTTTTGTAGTTGTACTTTTTGATTATGATAAAACAAATTGTTGTAGTTATTGTTGTGATTGTTGATGATGATTACAATAGAGAGAATTTTTGTTTTTTTTGTTTTTCAATAGATAGATTTTCAATAGAGATTTTTTCAACAGATAGAGAAAAAACAGATAATGAGATAAAAGAGAAGTAGAAATAGGAACATATAGAAAGAGAAAAGTTTAAAAATGATGTAAATTTGAGCAGATAGAAAAAATAGGTTATAAAAATTCAATAGATAAAAAAATTCAACATGAACAGGTAAAAAAAAAATTGAGCAGATAGACACAAAATTGAATAGATAGATATAATTTTGAACAGATATAAATAATTTGAACAGATAGATATAAAGTTGAACACATAGTCAACTAAAAGTTAATAGATAAAAAAAAGTTAGCAGATAAATTAATAAGTAATATTAAAAATAAAATATCCTCCAAAATTAATAAAAAGATTTATCACGAAACTATTTCATAAAAAATAAATTTTTCACGAACACAAAATGTCGAATAGATTTAATATCTTTTACCCTTATTATTTTAGACCTTTTAACAATTAACTCTTTATTTTTCTCATAAAGTTGAAAATTAAGTTGTTTTAGTTGAAAAGTTCATTTATTTTTCTCATAAAGTTGAAAATGTTTAATTATAGAAATGAGTTAGATACAACAAGGGGAAAAAAATTCTACGGCCATGATTTTTTGTTACTTTTAATTTCCCTCCAAAATTGTCAGTTATCGGTTGAGAGAGAATTTTTAGATTGATTTTAGCCATCAGATCAAAAATTGTAAAGTTTTAGCCGTCTGATCAAAAAAGTGCCCCGAGTTCACTTTCGTCTTTCCTTTCACTCCCCTCCATCTCTCTCTCTCTCTCTCTCTCCATTCTCTCTGCAACCCCATCGGTGAATCTGCAATTCAAAACCCTCTCTCTCATCACCACCACTGAACAAAAGGACTAAGTTTGGCTCGGGTTTAGGGTTCTAGGGTTTCCTTTCCCCTTCGATTTAGGATGTAATGTCTCTCTTTATCCTTCGATTCTGAGCCTTACACACTTTACTTCGATTCTGAGCCTTACACACTTTACTCGACTGGTTTACGATCTCTATGTTGTTCTTTAATTATATATGCTCTCTTTACGATTTCGATTTTTCTAGCTTTTGTTTTCTCGCGATTAATGATTTGATTTTGTAAATGTGTGTTTTGATTATCGCTCAAAGTGAAGCAGAAAACGTGGGTTTTGTTTTTCAACTGTTACAAACCAGCAATTTGTTGCTTTCGTGTGATTTTCCCAACTACTTGGTTTAACTGAATTTGAAGTAAACATTTGGTGGATTAGGATAGTACCATGAACAAAAAATTAATTGATATTTTGAAATATAATTTGATCATAGAGATGGGTATTTTTGGACTATATTTTATTCAGGATTTACTTACGATTCGGGTAGGTGAGTCGACGAGGTCGAGTGAGTGATTATTTGGGGTTTGATTTGAGCTTTGATGATCTGAAACTTGTTCTGATTTGTTGTTGTTGTGTCTTTTGCCATTTTGGTGTACAGTGGTTGAAGTAGACTAGGAAGAAGGTTTTGTTTGCTTCTTTGGAGAAGATTTAGGAAGGTGAGTGCGTTTCAATATACAAGTGTTAAATAATAAATTAGTGTAGAGATTTGATGATATAAGGGCTTTGATATGATTTTTCTTTTTGCTTGCTGCTTCTCTCTTGCTGTGAAGCTGTTGTAGATTAAGCATTGAGGCATTTAAGATATTTCTTTCTTTAATTTTGTGTGATTTGGTTGTCATCCGTCTTTTCTTCCTAAATGAGAAAGTTCCCCTCTTTTCTTTATGTGATTTGTATGATGTTTTTATATATTTAATTTTATGTGATTTGAATGATGTTTATTTTATTTTATTTTATTTAATGTTCCTCTCTTTTCTTTATGGGCTTGGATGATGTGTGCTTTATAATCAGGTAGTGGTGTACAAAATGAAGATAATGGCAAATGTTACATGTATAAATCCTAATAGATTTCACTACTCTTTTAAAATAAGTGCAATCTGTTTAATCTGAGTTATTGTTCTTAAGCAGTTCACTGAGTGGGGTTTCATGGGTGCAATTTGTTTTTGTTTATTGTTTTCTAAATTTTTTTGGGTACTTTTGTATTTGATTAAAGAGGAAGAGTGCTCCCAATCCAAAGTAGTTGTTGTGTATTTTTTTAAAGTTGGGTATTTATGAATTTAGTATGACCTGTTAATAAAAGAAGAAGAAGAGATAATAGTGCCAAATCAGTGGTTGCCATTCTACTTTCTGGTAGATGAGCCGTATCATATCAAAAATCCAAATGACAAGTGCAGAAAAATGGTCTGTTTGAAGTTTATCTCGATAAATGATATGTTTAAAGCGTATCCTAAAAGTCTGCATCTCAAACGAAAAGGGAATTTTCAGTGAACAAGTACTTTAACTTAAGTTTATTTAAGCCAAGTAATTTCGGTTCTTGCATGCATGAAAGTTCCCCTCTATTCATTGTTTTATCACGTAACATAATTAACAATGAGTTTGCTTGATTTGCTAAACTTGCTACATCATTGATGGGAATTTGCTTGCATCAACAACCCAAATTCTATTCAAATTCTGCACATTGTCAACCTATCCTCATATTTAATATCAATTATTTGGGAAAAGGGTGCTTGAGAATCAATGTACAACATAAAGGACCTCGAGTCGATCAGATTCGCTCAAGAAAAAGATGACTTGCATGTCACCTTGTGAGTTGGCTTGGATTCAACAACAGGCCATAGTAAATTTTAATATATATATATGTTTCAAATTCCATCTCCGATTTCCAATTTTATGTAGTTTAAATGCAAGTGAAAAGGTAAAGTGGCTGCTCGATATTTGGATTTGGGTTAGAGGATAGGTTTGAGTTATGTTATTCTTGTAAACATATTATTACATTGGCACATGTCATTTTGATGGGGATGTCTTTATATTGTACATTTTCAAATATTTTTATTTAAGTTTTCAATTTGAATTTCTAAATTATTGTCATTTCCACTGTGTAGGAGAATATTTTCCTCGCAGTGGAGAGCATTTTCAGCTGTTTCTGTGTGAACTTTTAAATTGCAGTGGAATTGTTCTCATATAGAATTAATTAACTGTAATATGTGGGTTTATTGTAATTGGAGCAGCGTAGGCACGGATTATCTCTATAGTCATCTATATAATAAAAATACATTTGGTTAGAATGGCTCAGATTAATTGTGTTAGAATCGACTATATTGATGAGTGAGTTGTATGAAGTGTTTAAAGTTGTCTTTCTATTTTTAATTTCATGCATGTGTTTCAAGTTCATAGCATTGTTGCATGAAGACTGAAGGGTACTACTATGAAAATATTGATAAAATGCAATGATTGTCTAGAAACAGAGTAAAATGAGTTGAATTATGCGAGGTAGTTGATCTCTCTATAAAAAACTTCCACCTTCAGACTTTTTGCATGATAATGGTAGAGAAACTAATCCAATGTGATCCCTTGGTGGCAGTTGGCCAGGTTGATGAGCTGAAAGTGGAGAAGTGAACCAATGCAAGATTTATTTGACGAAACATGGATTGAGGATGATTGGGAACAAAGACACTCTCGTTGGGTGCATTAAAGAGCATCTAGAGTAATATTTCATTTGTTTGGTAGTTTTGCTTAATTATTGAAATACATTGCTTTTCAATCAATGTATAGATGTTCTAATTTCTTCTACTTTTTTTTTTTTGGCTTCTATTTTAGCTTTCTCAAAGGTGGTGGAGAGAAGTACACCCAAAATCCAGATTTGTATTGAACTGCAAAGGTACATTAGTTGTTTTATTAGCTTAATTGTTTTAGTACAATATTTTGCTGAAGTATATTTTAAGCTTGGAAATTGCTCTGTTTTTTCCTTGTTGCTTAGATTGTGTTAATCAATGGGAGTTGGGTTAATACAAATCTACCACAATAATAGCCTGCGCTTTTGCATGGGCATTTTTTTACTAGTTTATAGAAAAGGGTTGTGCTTCTCTCAAGTTCAAATCTATATTTGAGAGAACTTGAGGGGCTCATGGAGCCTACCACGGGTCTCATTTTGATGATCCGAACCACTTATTTTGTAAGGCTCTCAATGAATATCATTCAAGGGAAAAGTTAGATCGATCCAATAATCGTAACATTTTCATTTTATAGTGTTTGTATTTTATTTTGATGACAAATACGATAAAATGAATAAGTTAGGGTTATTGTATCGGCCTAATTTTTTTCATGAATGATATACACGGAATGCTTTGCAAAATGAACGGTTCGAATTATAGAATTGAGGCTCGTGGTGGGCTCCACAGGTCACTCAAGTTTGAACTTGAGAGAAGCCTAATCCTATAAGAATGAATCTAGATCCTCAGTAGTGCACTATGTGTGTAGCGCGCGCGAGCTCACACACAAAAGAAAGAAGAAGAAGAAGAAGAAGAAGAAGAAGAAGAAAGCAGAGCTCACCAACACCCCTCTCTGGCAATCTTGACTGTCGCTACCTTTGGCAACCCTCACTACCGTGACCACCCCACCACTGAGACCCCTACTACCCTTCTTTTTCTTCTTCTTCTATCACATGAGATCGTGCAATTGTCAGGATGAACGACAGCAGGCTAGGGAGTAGTGACGCAAACGGCGAAAAGGAGAGAGAGAGAGAAGGGGGCTCGAGGTGGTGGCGGTGATGGCAAGGGAGGGGCTGGGAAGGGGTAGGTGAGGGTAATTATAAGTTGGGCCAGGCCAGAGCTGGGTTGGTGCCATTTTAATACACTACAAAATGCACTACACACCTTGCATTATTGAGGATCTAAACTCTATTACGATCAATGCAAACTGACTCATTGAGGTGGTTTTGACGGGAGTGGCTTTGCAGGGGCATTTTTAACTAGTTTTTTTTAGAAAGAGTAGGATCGAAACGGTTTGGGCATTCATTCATTGAGGGGGGCTTTGCGGAAATGTTGGGCCGTGAATCACGTGTGGTTAATGCAAGTAATGAAGCTGTAAAGCATGAGTTTTGCTAGGATGTTAAATAAATTATCAATTTTTTACTAAATCTCTCATATGGGTGTAAGATTCACACACTTGTGATTTGTGTGGGTCCCACATCCATATAAGAGGTTTGATATAAAATTTGATAATTTATTTAGTATTTATAACATTTTCCATAAATCATTAAGGCAGTTTCTGTGTCTTGCCATCTTTTTATTCCATCCAATCATTTCTTGTTATTTGTTACCTCCACTTATCACACCAACTTTAATTGGTAACATTAGGAATGGCAATGGGGTGGGGCGGGGCAGGGCAGGGCTAGGGATCACCCTCCTCGTCCCCGATCCCTGATGGTAAGAATCTCCCCGGCCCCGATCCCCGACAGGGAGCTATTACCGTCCCCACCCTCGTCTCCTAACGAGGATTAGGTTTTCCCGACCCCGAAAAAAAAAAAAAAAAAAAAAAATAGCAACAACAACGATTCAATTTTACAACAACATCCTCAACTTTAACATCAACAACAACACACAAATCTGAGTAGAGAGATAGATAGATCTAAGCTGCAATCTAATATATATATATATATATGTGTGTGTGTGTGTGTATATAACACATAGAGAAAGAGAGACGGAAAGAGTCAGGCGGCGGAGGAGATCGCGGAGGAGGGTGGTGAAGGAGATCGGCAGAGGAGGGCGGTGGAGGAGCAGCGCTGTGAGATCGGCAGAGGAGGGCGGCGAAGGAGATCGGCGGAGCAGCTCTTCTCTCGACGGAGGAGATCGGCGAGGATAGACTCTCTTCTCTCTCTCTCTCTCTCTCTCTCTCCTCATTTTTCTCACGCGAATAAAGTCGTGTGTGAGTGATTATGTGAGGGAGCATAGCAGCAGACACACAAATATATATAGACAAGGGTAGAATTGTAATTTTATTTCGGGGGAAAAATAGGGCAGGGTCGGGGGCGGGGCCGGGCCAGGCCGGGGACGGGACTGGGAAATGTATCACCGTCCCCGGTCCGAACATTATCGGAGATTTATTTTTAAATTCCATCCTCGGCCCGTCGGGGGTATTTTTCAGAGAAAAACCGCTCTAATCAGGGTTGGGGGGTCGGGTCTCCGTCGGACCGGGTTTAAATTACCATCCCTAGGCAACATGTGCTGGAGAACGACCAAAGGTTAGCTTGGGGCATTATGGTCCCACAGCTTGATTGGCTTTGACAATTTTCACTTCTTTTCTTTTCTTTTCTTTTTGTTTGTTTTTCTTTCAATTAATAATATGTAAGATATGATATTTGTGGTATTAAGTAACACAAATATCGTATTTAGATCCTTTTCAATTGTAAGTAAAAAAAATTTGTGTTATAACCGAACAGTATACGGTTTACATCCTTATAGTGGTGAATAATAAAGTTATATTTTTTGTGATAAGTAAATGTTAGAGCAAATTATACTAATGGTCCTTATAATTTGGGATTTGTGTCATTTTGATCTTTGTCTTTTCAATTATGACACATTTGATCCTAAATTTAGAATCTTATTTCAAATAAGGATAATTAAAGATATCATTACTCAATTTCAAGGGCAAAGTCGTTAATTTAATAAAATATAAACTAATTGGACAAAAAAAAGTGTCAAAAAAATATTTTTAAATTTTTAAAAATTATTTGTACCCATCAAAGATAAAATTATGTAAAATTGAAAAATCATTTACGCATTTATTTATTTATTTTATCAAATTAAATTTTATTATGTGTTTGGATGATGATCATGTAATGAATGGTTATTTTTATTTTCATTAAATTAATTTTTATTTTTTCAAAAGTCAAATATGACGTTAGCTTTGATATCATTATTAAATCAATCCATTAAGTCAAAAAATTCAAAACTAAAAATATTTCATATATTAAATATATTGATTACACATTAAAAGTCTAATAACCACCCATTACATGATTATCATTCAAACACATAATAAAAATTAATTTGGTAAAATAAATAAATAAAAGCGTAAAAAATTTATCAATTTCGCATAGTTTTTTCTTTGGTTAGTAGAAATAATTTTTAAAAATTTCAAAAATATTTTTTGACATTTATTTTTATCAAATTAGTTTATATTTTATCAAATTGACGACTTTGCTCTTGAAATTGAGCAATGGTCTTTAATTGTCTTTATTTAGAATAAAATTTAAAATTCAGAGTTAAATGTATTACAATTGAAAAGTTAGAAAACTATAGGAACTATTAGTATAATTTGTCCTAAAAATTATATTTTTTGTTATAAAAAAAATTGTACTTTTATATAAGGTGTATACTTTTACATGCACTCTTTTTGCATAGTAACTTTTAAGTGAAACCAAGAACCTAGTGTCATGTTTGGTTTATTTATTTATATTTATTTTTGTAAGTGGGGGGGCCCTTTTTACAAACGCGTTACAAACGCGTTCATTTTATTGACACTACACATTATTGGTGTAAAAAAAGAGGAAACGATATCCCCTTCCAACTCCGACCCACAGACTTGATAACTCTCTCTCTTTCTTTCTTAGTCTCACTCTTTTATCAATGTTTGTGTTTTTGATGTTGTTGGATTTATAAAATGTTTAAAACTTGAATTGAGGAGGGTAACTTACTACTACTGAACATTTTGTGTTGATTCACAGCCTAGACAGCTTGAGCAAACTGTATAATGATTTCCTTTTATTTTTTTATTTTTAATTAACTTTGTAATATCTATAATTTTTGTTTATTTGTTTATTTTTGCAGAATTAATTGCTTTCGGCGATGGAACACAAGTCATTCCAGAACCAAGCGGCATGGACATTTTGTTTGGCTGATGAGAAAAACAATGCAGTATCAAATTTTGTCAGATTTCACTCAAATGTTTTTGGTGGCTGTGTGGAGATGATGGTAGCAGTAGCTGCCATATCCTTTTTTGCTGGGGTTATTATAATTTTTGTAATCATCCTCCATTTCTTCGATACATATGTCTCTCAGCGCTATCGGAGCAGACACAGAGCCATCGTACGTCCATTTAGGGTTGTTGCACCAACACAAGTGAACTTGAGTCATGAGTCACCCAGAACAGGCCTTGAGCCAATTAGGGCTGTTGTACCAGCACATGAGAACTTGATTCACGAGTCAGCCAGTAGTGGCTTTGATCAATCGATCATAGACTTGCTTCCAAAATTTGTTTACAAAGCGAGCCCCCGGCACTGGCTAGGCGACGGTGGTGAGGCTGTGGAGTGCACGGTTTGCCAAATCACCGTAGTGGAAGGAAACAGAGTTAGGCTTCTAAATTGTATGCACTTGTTCCATGTAGATTGCATCGATCGGTGGCTGAGATTGAGGTCCACTTGTCCCAATTGTCGTGCGGAGCCTAGGCCACAGAATTGGACAGTGATAGCTCCACCGTGGCTAGAGGAAATGGCTTCAGATGGATGAGGTGGATCAGCTTCTGCAATAATTTGATGTTGAAATATTAGGAGGACCTGACTAGGTGTGTAGGTTGAGTTGGGTACGAGTTCCAAATAACAAAGATTGGTGGGGTGTTTAAATGTAGTGGGAGATCTATCTTTTGGCTTGCGTTTAGAGTAGATATTAGAATAGTGACTAGCTAAGGGGATATTTTTTTTTTGAGAACAAAGTAAAGGTTTATGATCAAATACTTAATGTTCAACTCGGGGCTATAAATTTGGAGGAATCCATTACTCTTGTAGACTTTGATGAACAACATGCTCCTCCACCTCCAAAACCGACACCTGCTGGTTGGGATGCTTCCATTGCTACTCCCTTTCAACCTGCTGTTACCTCTATAGGGTGGGGGACTTGGAAACAATCCTTGAAGAATAATGTTTGAGAGTCACAATTTGTGTGGTTCAAATGGCTTAAAACTGTCAAAACGACGTCGTTTTGGCATGTTTTGTGCTCAAAACGACGTCGTTTTAGCAGTTTTGAGCCATTTGAGCTACAAAAATTGTGGCCCTCTATCATTGAAATCTCATGCTCAAGCAAAAGGATTAACCATCACTTCATTGGTCGTGATGATGACCCTTTAGCTACAGTTAATTTTGATGGAATTTGTTATTTTACGCTTTGTTCCAATGTATAAAGGAGTTATGCGTATATTTTTAAATCGTAAAAGAACAAGTTTTTGAGATAAATAAAAAAGAAAAAGAAAAATGTAATTAACCAATTTTTTAAGAAAAAATATTAAATGCAGTGCAATTTTGTAAATTAGTGACAATGTGCAAGTGTTGACTGATATCAGTCATGAATTGTACCCAAAAATTCTCTCATTTATATACATGAATTGTGTATTACACATGAATTGTTTTTGGAAGGGGAAAATATAAATTAAAGTTGTTTTAAAAGTGATTCACACTAAGAACTTTTTAATCATTTGTGAATATTACTTTATCTTCTTATATATGAACTCTTACGTTTTGACTCTATCAATTATAAAAATGTATTAGTTTCACCTGTAGACTCTTCCAGAATACCTTTAAAAGAGATATTTATACGATTTTCATAGTTGATAGGGTCAACATATATGCGAGTTTATAAATAAGGGGATTATATTAATATTTGTAAATAATTAAAGGAGTTTTAGTTTAATTAACCTTTGTTTTAATGCTACTTTTGGTGGGGGTTAAAAATTACATGTTGGGCATAATTTTTTTTTTCTTTTAAATATAAATATAAAAATTCTTAATGACATGTTTGATGATAAGAGAGTAAATAGAGTATAGTTGTGCTTTTTAAATAAAGAAAAAAATTATATACCTAATTATTGAATTCGAAAGCTATAATCGTAAGTTACAAAAATAAAATTTGAAAACAGTCTTTATGATTCTTGATAGTTTTTTTTAGTAGGACATCCAAGTCACTTATGCTTTTGTTCGTTATTTTCACTAAATTTCCTTCTTCGATTTTTATCACCATTCTTGTTGATGCTTGTAAAAAATATGTATTTTGGGTATAACAATTTATTAATTCTTTAGGTTTAGTTTGGTTAGATAGAGAATATACGCAAGTGAAAGAAAGAGAAAAAAAAAAAAAAATTATGTTTGTTTAGCTAAAGAGTTCTAGAAAGTAAAGAAAACTAAAATTTTCTCTATAACTCAAATTAGCTTATTTGTTAGGCTTACAATTTCTAGCAAAATATACTGAAAAAATTATTTTTTCTCACAAAACTTGATAATGCTTATTTTGTTTCCCACTTTACCCATGCTTCTCTAATTATATATTTTTTCTATTATTTTCTTGTGAAAATTTTCATTTATTCAAATGCATTCAAAAAAATAAATTTTCATTTTTTTTTCCCTTTCTTTCACTTCACTTACTACTATTTTTATTTTCTAATTAACATCTGATTCTTTCTAAACAAACGGATTCATATAGTAGTTATTTTCACCCTCCTCCAAATAGAGAAAAGTGTGAAAGTATTTAATTAATTTAAATTTGGAAAAATTATAAAAAAAAATTATTCTGAATTTTTATTTTTGTCAATTTAAACTTTTATTGTTTTTTATTTATTTTTAATTTAAACCATTCACCTTTTTTTATTAAGTGAAATTGAAAGAAAAATGATATGTTAATTATTAAATTTAATATAAGTGCATATAAAATGTCTAAAATATTATTTTTTTAATGAGTTTAATTATTATAGCTTTTTTTGCATCAATTTTACTTAAAGAAAATAAGCAGATGGTTTAGGTTAAAAACAAATCAAAATATTATGATTTAAATTGATAAAATTTAAAAACTCAGGACCATTTTTTATTTTTTATTTTTTGTAATTTACCTTTAAATTTCTATTTTGAAATCTTTCATTATTATTGTTATAGTCTGATGCCAAAGTACAGACATCTTTCTAAACTTCAATATATTTGGATATAGAACCTCCAATAATTTTTTCTGTCGCATTAAATAATGACATTAATTTATTGAATTACATTGCTAACAATAACCTTCACTATGTATGTATGTTGCATGACATAATTATTGTGACATTTATTGCATTGTGTTAGTTGCTCAGTCCAATATGAGCTTCCGACGAGATTGTGCAGATGAACTGTACCAATATAAATTAGTGAATGGTAATTCTATTTTTTACTAGGGAAGTGCTACAGACCCCAGTGAGCCGACCCCCACTGACAACCCCCAGTGAGATGTCAGCTCCCCATTGGCTGATTCTTTAGGTTTAGTTTAGTTAGATAGAGAATATACGCAAGTGAAAGAAAGAGAAAAAAAATAAATAAATTATGTTTATTTAGCTAAAGAGTTCTAGAAAGTAATGAAAACTAAAATTTTCTTTATAACTCAAATTAGCTTATTTGTTAGGCTTACAATTTCTAGAAAAATATACTGAAAAAATTATTTTTTCTCACAAAACTTGATAATGCTTATTTTGTTTCCCTCTTTACGCATGCTTCTCTAATTATATATTTTTCCTATTATTTTCTTGTGAAATTTTCCATTTATTCAAATGCATTCAAAAAAATAAATTTTCATTTTTTTTTCCTTTCTTTCACTTCACTTACTACTATTTTTATTTTCTAATTAACATCTGATTCTTTCTAAACAAACGGATTCATATAGTAGTTATTTTCACCCTCCTCCAAATAGAGAAAAGTGTGAAAGTATTTAATTAATTTAAATTTGGAAAAATTATAAAGAAAATTATTCTGAATTTTTATTTTTGTCAATTTAAACTTTTATTGTTTTTTATTTATTTTTAATTTAAACCATTCACCTTTTTTTACTAAGTGAAATTGAAAGAAAAATGATATGTTAATTATTAAATTTAATATAAGTGCATATAAAATGTCTAAAATATTATTTTTTAATGAGTTTAATTATTATAGCTTTTTTTGCATCAATTTTACTTAAAGAAAATAAGCAGATGGTTTAGATTGAAGACAAATCAAAATATTAAGATTTAAATTGATAAAATTTAAAAACTAAGAACCATTTTTTATTTTTTATTTTTTGTAATTTACCTTTAAATTTCTATTTTGAAATCTTTCATTATTATTGTTACAGTCTGATGCTAAAGTACAGACATCTTTCTAAACTTCAATATATTTGGATATAGAACGTCCAATAAATTTTTCTGTCGCATTAAATAATGTGACATTAATTTATTGAATTACATTGCTAACAATAACCTTCACTATGTATCTATGTTGCATGACATAATGATTGTGACATTTATTGCAATGTGTTAGTTGCTCAGTCCAATATGAGCTTCCGATGAGATTGTGCAGATGAACTGTACCAATATAAATTAGTGAATGGTAATTCTATTTTTTACTAGGGAAGTGCTACAGACCCCAGTGAGCCGATCCCCACTGACAACCCCCAATGAGGTGTCGGCTCCCTAGTGGCTGAAAACAAAAAAAAAAAAATTAGTTTTTTTCCTCCAATCAGAGAGGACCCCAGTACCCCACTGGGGGTCCAACGCATTTTCCTTTTTACTATATATAAATATTTTTAAATCCAACGTGGCGGGTGGTGATTGGAGGAGCAGGAAAAAAAAGAAAAAGAAAAAGAAAATGTAACCAATGAGAGAGAGAGGGGGTCAAAGGGGGTGGGGGGAAAAGGGGGGATGAATCATTACTCTTCTTTTTTTTCCTGCTCCTCCAATCACCACCTGCCACGTGGCAAGGGGGGTGAGGGGGTGATCCCCAAAAGGGGGTCCCAAGCATTATTCATATAAATATTTTTAAATCCAATCAAACAAGAGAATGAATATTAAGAAGGAATTATCATTCTTCAAAATTGAATGACAATTGTTTGACCTGCTAATAGAATAATCATTCTCTCAAAGCGGTGAATGGTAGCTCTTTTTTTTCAATATAAATTCATGTTTTTTTAATCCAATCAAATATGAGAATAAATATTAAGATAGAAGGACCGTTCCATTTCATATAAATTAATCAGACCATTTTTGTTTGATTTGAAAAAAAATAAAAATAAAAAATGATTGACATATGATATATTCTACAAATTATAAACAGAACTATGGCCACTAATTTGGTTATCTTGACAAACAAAGTTGTAGGAGAGTTTAACAATAAAAATCTCAAAATGTATATCATGTATAGTTTATAATATTTAATAGTGTTGATATTATTTTGTCTTATAATCAAATTTCTTTCAATCATATAAATTAATCAGACCATTTTTGTTTGATTTGAAAAAAAATAAAAATAAAAAATGATTGACATATGATATATTCTACAAATTATAAACAGAACTATGGCCACTAATTTGGTTATCTTGACAAACAAAGTTGTAGGAGAGTTTAACAATAAAAATCTCAAAATGTGTATCATGTATAATTTATAATATTTAATAGTGTTGATATTATTTTGTCTTATAATCAAATTACTTTCAATCATATCATAACCAATATCAAAATGAATATTAACTAAATCATAAAGACCACAAAAAGTTATAATTGAAACATATGATACATTTTTTTATTTATTTATTAACAATACAGTCTGAAAAATAAATATCATGTGTAACTTATTATATTTTGTAGTGTTAATATCATTTTGTCTCATAATAAAATCACTTTCAATCATAATCATCATCACCAACACCAAATGAGTATTAACCAAATCATTCACGGCAAAAAATTATAACTAAATACCACCAAATTTTAGAACTGAAGTTTATAGTTTACTTTTTTAGTGTGTGAATTATAAAATTGTCCAGCAT